AAACAATAAAAAGCAAGAGAAACAGAACAGGTTTGCCTTTCTAGTAGTTTTTTATGGAGGTGGGTTTTATGAAGGAAAAAAAAAAAAAAGCTGTTTTAAAGATATCCTTTTATAAGTGCAGAGCGAGATGCCAGGAAGTTATTTCAGGTAGTAAAATCTAATAATCTTGGATTAACTATTTGCAAGTACTATCTGTACACACAGAGAATAATATGTGTTATTTGTGGATATGTACAAATATGTTAAAATTGTAGGAATTTATTTCATGTACACTTCACAGGGAAGCCTCTATGTTCTGGGCACAAAGCTTAATTGTGTAAAAATGCTCAAGCCTGCTTAAAGCAGTGATTCTGTATGACTCCTTTTCAAGATCTTAGCAAGCAGCTAATGGTCTTGATTCCATCATGAGCAAAATGGCTTGGTCTTTTGATGAAAAAATGTGTTTGGATTTATTTGCTGGTCATTGCTTATTCACATTGTGTTCCTTTAAAAGGCTGCATCTGAGGCAGTAGCAAAAACTACATGTGTACCTTGCCTGTCTGCTGTGGTCTGGACTAAGTTGGAAGCCTTTGGAAGGAGGGTTGCTTGCTCAGTGGCATTCAGAAGAGGAACAGAATAATCCGTCAGTTTTCCAGACTATAGATTTGGCCAACAAAAGAGAGCTAAACTGTGCTGGCACAAGAGGGGGACAGTGATAAAAATCAAAAAGACCTCCAAGCCTTCAAGTGCAGAAGGGACTGATGAGCAGAGAAAGGGGCATATTTGTAGTCTGACCACAAGACAGGTGTAAAAAAAAGCCCAGCTCTTTTCCTGAGGATCCTAGCAGAGACTGTGCTGAGTTTGTTGCAAAATGGGAAGTCAGTGTTGGACTGAGGAAGAACATAAAGATAATGACTCCTTGTTCAAAGAAATAACAGGCAAAAGTTGTTTAAAAATTGTTGTTCAATTTTTAATAAGGGCTGTTTTCTTGCATGCAGTTCTCATAAAAGCTAGTTTTAAAGAAAAATAAAGTTTGTCTTTGAGATGTTTGCCTCTGGCAAGATATCAGGACTAATCCACATCAGAGCTCTAGCTGACTTGGGGTTGAATCCTACCACTTCCTTGTGTAATTCATTTAGGACCGAGTATTTCTTTTCATTCAAGTGTTGTAAGAGGAGCAAAACCTGATCCACGAAGGCACTTAAAGGAAGAGAATGAGTGTGAATGTATACTTGCAGTGTTTACCCCATTACTGAATGAGACATGAGTGAAAGATTACTAGAATCCTAACCTGTGCCCCATAGGTGTGTTTAAGTAGGGTGGGATAAAAGCCAGTTAAGCAGTGTTTTCCTGCTTTACAGGCATCTGATCCATCAAGTTTTAGATTCCAGAGAAAAGTACTTGTCTAGATGGAGCAATAATCTGATCTTGTATAGCAAAGCTAATTCAGTAATCATTCCTTTCACTGACTTTCAGTAAGGATCTCAAGAATGAATATAAATAGTGTAATTCTTTGTAAGTTATTGATTATGATGAACAGCATTAGCACTACCATAGCAGAATGACAGTGTTCCTCAACCTTCCACCAAATAAATGATATGCCTCTGTAAACTAGTGTGCAGACTTAAAGATGAACAGGTGTTATGAAATAATCTTGAAGTATGTATTTTATCTTTATAATAAGTTACTTTGTGAAAAAAAAAAAAATTAACCAAATAGTTGAAGAACGACTTCATTTATTATTCTGGTGCTTTTGTGACAACACACAGATGCATCAGTGAACACCAAAATTTGTATAAGTTAGTGCTTCCCCCCCACCCCAAAAAAAAAAGTGGTGGGAGCTTACAACCAGAACAACCAGAAATAACCTTCTAGAAATGTATGGAATACTGATAGAATACAGATCATGGAGGCATTAATTTGTAGAAAAAAAATCAAGCAAACTTAGCAGAGATGTAACATACCCTTTTGAGATCTGCCTTTCACTGAGTTTTCTTGAACGTCTTGAACATCATGTCTATGAGCCATTAATGCTTTTCAAAAAAGCTCAATTTATTTCTGAATGTACTAGTTCAGGAGGTGGATTGGGCATCTGCAGGGAGCTAATCCTACATTGAGTGGTTTTAAGCAGAGCATATTGCCGTACCACATCACTGCTATGATTATAAGGAATTTGTGTCTCACGCTTGTTTGGGAAGAGAGCTAACAGTGCCGTGCCCAATTAAGAACTACCTCTTGGTTCCATGTGATGTACTGCATTGTTTAGTACAAATATAATTCTGATTCAGCAGGCATATATCATATACCACCATTTTATCCCCAGGGGTGCATGAGTAAGATACTTTATATTGTTTATTTCAAGGAGGAGGGTAAGAGTTTTTCTCTGCTTCTTTTTAACTTCCTGTGTTTGAATTGAAGTTAACAGCTCTTTTCACTAAAGTACTATTTTTCTTCAGTCTTTCTATGGCTTAGAACCCAGCATGCAAAAGAGTAGAGCTCAGTCACATAAGAAGAGGTTATGCAAGCCAAAACAAAGCATCTAAATTGTTTGTCTCTCTCATTTGCTCACTTCCTGATGTTTGAAACAATAAACCCTGCAGAGTGTTTTTAGCAAGTGGTAGTGTTTTCTAAAAGGTAGTGGAGTGTCAGCCTTACAAATCAATCCTGTTAAAGCTCAGATACTTTTAATAATTTTTAACCAAAGCTTTATTTGACCATTGCAAATAACTTTATGGTGATTGAAGACTGTGTTTGGCATCGTTACCAGGTTTAATGCCCCTTAAAAGGGGCTTCACTTCTTGCAAATACAGAATATGAGCACTTTTTTGAGTACAAGGACAGAAGCTATTGAAGACCAGTATATATCAAGAGAAGGAAAGTGAAGAAGTATTATTTTAGTAGATACAGGAAGCTGGCATTTGAAAAGGACATGTTTCCTGAACATTGTCAATATTGCCTTGCGGGCTGGGAAGTAATCTAAACCAGAAAAATTATTCAGCTTAAATACAGGACCATGGGCTTCTGTGAATTTTATTTGGAATTAAGTCTGAAAAGACTCCAGGCATTTTTCAAAATTTCTATTCATAAAGATGTAATCATAGTATAATCTCATGATGACTTTGGCATGTCTGAGACAGGGGTATTGTCAGCTGCTTATTGCTGCTGGTACTATTTTATATGTAAATTCATAGACCATGAAAGTTACACTCAGACTTGGAGTACTCTTATATTGGGTCCTGTGTAAAGCTCCAGAACTAGCATATGTAAAATGGTATGATCATGAACGTGGAAAATAAATTCATTTCATGAGTCTCATTCCTTTGCTTAACCTTTCTTAGTGGACATGTTTTCTTATATTCTTATTACTGTCCCTCTGCAGAAGAAAAAAAGACAAAAAACAAACAAAAAAAAATAAACAACAAAAGAAAACATTTAAAAGATGTATGTGAAATGCTAGAACTAGCCTAACTTGATCTGAAACTGAATAATTCCCTGGAGACTCTGCCAGGGCTGACAAAGAAAGGACAGGACTAGTTTCCCAGCACTCTGATGCAAAGACTTACTACAAGGAAGTATGTTAATAAAAAGCTTGAAGTCTCTCTGCAGTCCCAAATCGATCCCTCTGTTAAGTCTGTGTGTAATTCTGTGTGGCACACAATGCATTGTACACTAAATATGAAATACAATAGAGAAACTTAGGGTATTCTCTAAACACAATAATATATTTAGGTTCTGGCATCCAAAATTAAAATAAAAACCCAGAATAAGATTAATGGACAAGGAAAGGTTTAGATCATCTAAAAGGAGATGCTGAACTTAGTTGCCTAGGGCTAATCAGAGTTTGGCAGAAGGCTTGAGGTGATGTATTATTCCTCTTCAGGATGTAAGTAAATGCAGTGGATGCATCTCTGCATCATGGATGGTGTTTCTGCATCAGAGTCCAGTTTGACAAGTATGTTTAGTAGAACTGTTCAAAGCTAGTATATTTTAGAATGGCATGATACTCAGGCACTGGTGCATTCTCTGCCCGATCAGTGAAATAACTTTGGCTATGTTTTCCGTGTTTTTGTACTGAACCCATTGCTGTTGGTAAACAGTGTATTCAAAGTATGCTTACCAAATCAAGCATCTCAGTCCATCAAGATGTACCTCTACACTTATTTTTATATCAGGTGAGTATTAGATGGGCACTAGGCTCCTAGCTTTTCTGAGACAGGTATCTCAGGTCAAGTCTAAAAAACTAAACTAGGTGTGTGCCACAAAAGCAATGCAAAGAAAGATTTTTCTTTTTAATTCAGTTGCTTTATTATACCAAGATCAGGAATATATGTTTAAAATAATTTCAGTTTTAGGCATCTGTGCACCTCTGAGGTTTGTTGTTTGGGGTTTTTTAAAATTGTTTTGCATTTTTTCAGTTCACACCTGGGTTTCAGTTTGCTGTTGCCTTGTGACAGCAAATATGCAACCTAACTTCTTGCTTTCTTACAGTACAAGAAGAGGCAAACATCTTGTACAACTAATATATTAAGATAGCCTAGTTATAAAAAGAGTGGTCAACCTGAAGAATGTAATTTTAGGGAATTCACCAAACCTTCATATTATGTAGATTGTATTACTGTATACAGAAGTAGGATGATTGCATAAGATAAAAGTATATTCTTTGATTAATGTGACATTTCTTCTGAAGACCAAATCATAACATATTAAATAAAATGTCTGATTCCTGCCTAGCTCCAAATGAAATGTGTTATTTTTTTCTCCCTCAAGGCAAAATTTTTAGCTGCTTTGGGAAGCATAATTACAAAGACAACTGCCATTCAAGAAATAAAGTCATAAGACTTAGGGTTTTTTTCCTGTTTCAGGGAATTGGAATCAGTTAATTAGATCAGTGAAATAAGTTTAATAACTGGCAAAACATAAGATCAATTTGAAGGGTTTTTCAATCTCTCAACAAAATCCAATAAGCATTCGAAAGAAAATCAATGTGGAATCCTAAAAGGCTTCTTATTTCTTTCTCACAGAATTCTAGCTTTCTTTCTGAAGCTCTTTTTCCTGTACATGCAACAAAAACTGAAGAACTGGATCCCTCCTTCAGCCTGCACGAGACCATTGCAAAGGTAACAGAAATTGAGATGTCATTTATACATGCTTTCCTTCACGTAGCCAAATTTGAATTTGTTCATAGTTTTGAAAGATAATATATTTTTTTCTTGTATATATTTGAATGTACTTAAAATTTGTGGAGGTTTTTTTCATTCAGATTCATCATTGGAAAATACTGTTATATTGGTCAACTTTTGTGAGTAAAAGCCTTTTATGTGCAAATGCTTCATTTTCTGTGATTCAGTTGTATTTTTCGTGGTTCACATTACACTTCCTGGCATGAGTGCAGGGCAGTAAACCTCACTAGGTGGCAGGAAGTAGCAGGTATGTTGCTGTCGATTTTGTCAGTGAAGAGGGCTCTCTGAGGGCACCTTCACATGCACTTTATGAGCTGTCATTGGGATGCCCACATGGGAGGAACGGGTGGCCATCCCAGGAATCTGGAGAATGCTCTATATAGGGAATGCTTCCAAAGTTAATGTGTTCTGACTCCCCTCTTGTCACTCCAGTATAATACTCCCTCCGTATTATTTATTAGTACTCCTTGCTCCAGACTGCTCTTTCTTTACTCTGTCCAATCAGCAAGCCCGATTTCTGTTAAGACACATGACTGCAACTGAGTCAAGCTTAATGGATATGCGCACTTCTTATACCTGGATTTCTCATAAACCCGAGCTTTGTAGACCTCACAAACAGATTTTGGAGCTACTTCTTTGAAGCTACTTCTCTTGGAAAAGCAGCTACTGTTTAAACATTTCTTGTGGCAATAATAAAAATAAATTCACAAAGATCAGGCATGCAGATTTAGCATGTAGGTGGATCAGCATCTTTGGCAAAATAGGCAGTGGCTGATCTTGGGGGTTTTAGGGTTTTCTTTGTCATGGGTTTTATTTAAAAAAATTAAAGACATATTCCTAGACATCGTTTTGAAGCTTGGCAGGTACTGCCAGTTAAGGAGCAACCATAAGACGAGTCTTCTCTGAAGCCCTTTAAATGGAATTGATGGCAATTTAAGCCAAAGTGGTGCCAAAGTGACTGAAAACATTCACCAAATTTCTTCCCAAAGACTGAGGGAACTAGGTAAGTGGTTATTTACTACACAATTGATTTGTGATTAACTAACTAGTGTGTGATGGGCCATATATAATCTGAATCATCTATATTATTTTTCTATTTTCTATATAATGTTGACGAGCAGAGAAAAGTTTTTATTAGATGGATGACTTGAAGCATTTTGATCCTGTTTAAATCATTGCACATTATTTCAAGTGCAGTCATTGAGCATTACAATTTTCTCTGACAAAACTTGATGAAAATTGCATTAGGATATGACTGTATTTCTGTTTTGCTTTTCAGACTGTAGCCCAGGATGCTGTTATAAAGATGCCCTTAGCTGGTAGTTTTGTCATCTTTACCCTAGCTTAATTATCTTGAAGTAGTTTCTGAGTAGCTTGAAGAGCAAAAATTTTCTAAATTTCATCTGTAGTTTAGGCTTTTTTCCAGTTAGTTGTTACCTTGTGGATCGTTCCACTCCTACCCCTTCGAAGTGCCTGAGCCAGCATTGTCTTTCTCTTCTCCTGCAAAATGGGCTTCCCTTTGTCCCTTCTTTATCCTAGTGTTTGCCATCTGTTCCGATTTGAAAGCATTTCCAATGTGAAATGTCCTGAAATGTATACGGTATTTTACATAAGGCCATAGTATAGCTTTGTGTTGTAATGTTTATCCAGCTTCATACCTGAGGTGACGTCATATCAACCTTTTCCTTGGTAAGACCTTCTTTCAGCCCTATGTTTGATTCTAGTGGCTGCATGTTAGTGCAGACAAGCTGCTGCATATGTAGTCTGAATTCTACAGAGTCATCTTATTTTAGAAATTTTCTTTTTTAAACTGAGACTGGTTTCCATGATTTGGGCCACCTGAAAAGTTGCTGAGACATTGGTCACGGTGATGGTTTTTCCTATTTCCATTATCAAAACTCTAAATATGTCCTGTGTATGCTGTGCGCATAATAATTCTCAATGTGAGCCCTTTAAGGAGGGGAAGTGGGGAGGGAAATTAATGATTTTTTTTTTCTTTGAGAAGAAAAAAAAATATCAGTTTGGCTTTAATGAAAACATCTGTAAGTATTAGAAGAAAGGAAATTTGAGTTACATGGAGGTACAGATCTTTTAAACAGTATCTAATTTGCACAGTTCAGTTGATCGATTATTCATGGTCAGTGTATGAGTGCAAACAGAATTCTAGGTATTATACTGTGCACATGAATGATGCATGATGCTTTCTGCTTCCACACTTTTTTGGTTCTGGGTAAAAGTTCATTGTTAACATTTATTCTGTTTATCAGTTACTGTATATGCCTGATGGTTGTCTTTGAGCTCATACAGGTGAAATTAAATAAGATACATTTTTACTTGAGTGAGAGAAGTAGATGAAATACAGAAATGTTATGTATCCTGAAATACCATTTCATCTTGTACCTTTGAAAACAGAGTTTTGTTGGGTCTTATAAGCAAGCTGAAAGGAAAACCATTTTTGTATTCATGAAACTACAGAAATTCTGTTACAATTCTCTGAGCACCTTGAAAACCGTACAGTTTGAGTGAACAAGACTTAGTTTCTTGCTGAGTCTTTAACGTAAAAATATTAACTGGATATGGGATTTAAACGAAATGCTATAACCCATTTAATGCTATAACTTAGTTAAAACTAAGCACTCTAGATACTATTCTTTAATCGGAAACCTTCGTATTTTCATTGTGCGACTGTGAACAGATGAGGCCAAGTTGTATCTTCAGAAGGTTATAAATCTCTAGCTTTATATTAAATTACTCATACTTGAAAAAAAAAAAAAATACCGTGAGAGAGTAGCTCATAGTTAGAGAATATAGACTCTTCAGTTGGAAGTTAATGCTCCTCAACAGGTACATGCCAACTGACTGTACACACTCCATTGCAATTGCAAGTAAAATAGGTATCATAACTGCTTCTGAAATTCTAACTTTTCATTTCAAAAGACTTTTCACACAAATCTTTTTCATGTTAAAAATATTCAAATAGAATGAATTAAACAGTAATTTTATTGTTTTGTTGTTTCTTTTATTTAGAATTGGTTAATGAAAATATTTGAAACTGTAACTTTTTATTCTTGAGACCAAACGTATTTTATTAAAATTTTTGATAAAGCAAAAATGTCATATTCCAACCTGCCTTATTCACATGACTATCTGGTTATTTTAGCACTATTTATCCAAATATCAAACATTCAAACCCTTTTTTACAGAACCAAAGTAGTACAAAACACTGTTAATGAGCTATAATGACATGGAAGACTACGAAAATCTTCATAATTTATCAAATTTTCCATGATATTAGATTGTAGAAGTTAAAATTGTAGGAAGCTCAAGTTGAGAAAAGACCTGTGAGATTTTGGAGATACAAATCTTGGAAAATAAATTCACAATATTGTAGGTCAGTAGTTGTCAGCTTATTGTTGACTGAGTAATATTCTGCGATATCTGAAATAAAGATTTTGTGATGTTTAGAGGGCTGGTATGAGATAGGATTAGACCCAGGAAATTCTATGATGTGCTCATATATTAATATAATTCCTTGTGCTTCAGTGATTGCTAATTTGACTATGGCATCCACGTTCAGTAAATAACTTTTAACAATAACTTTTGCTTCCGTTAATAATCCTTGTATTTTGTTTCCTTTGGCTAATCTTAATGACCAAATAAAACTATGCTTAAACAAGCAAGAAAATGTAAAGTTTCATAGCACTAAAAAAAAAAAATCCATTTTCTGTATGTAGAAGTATGTATTTTACAGCTGCTTTCGTGAGAGACTTTATTTTCAAGATTAGTCTCAGTTCCTTTAGTGACCCCCTGAGAAAAACAAAGGTATTCCTTACAGCTGGGTGTTGCAGTTCAAAATTTAGTGGTATCTCATGTGAGATTTGCAGACCTTATAATTTCAAATGTGTTTTATAATACCTATATTAAGTGTTAAAATGGAGAAATGTGTGTCTGTGTGACAGAGAATGGATTTTCCCATCAGACTAGGAGAAGTTAGGTGAAACTCCATTGTTATCAAATGCATAATTGGAAAAGTATGTGCTGTTCTTCAAGAAGTTTCACCAGTGTTATTCAGCACTGTTTTTCATGGTAACTAGTCAGTTGCAGTTATTAACAATTTTGAAAATACTTAAGTATGCTCACTAGAATAGCCTAATAAGGCTCGAATTATGCAGTTATAAAATCTTTAATGGCAGTCCCCCAACAGGGAGTGCCACTGGAGCCACTTAACCAATATCAGGCATGGAATAATAATAAACTTTTATTGATTTTTACTTTGGCAGGCACCAAAGTGTTGAAAGGTATGCCAGAAGTGACATAATTGGTTTTATAATGAGTTATGGGTGCTGACAGATAACTCTTGAGAAAATTATTAGTGATCCTCATTATTCTACACTTCAGTTATGGAGCTGCATAAAGTAGAACTAACAACCATAATGGAATTAACTTTTAAACATTAAATAAAATAGCAATAGGGAGAAGTGTTTCCCTTTTTAGGGAAATAAGGAGTCTTTTATGTAACACAGTGTGTTTTTTCCAGTTTTCTAAAAAGTACTTCCAGGAAGATGACAGGCAGATTCTTTTCTTGAAGCAAATGAAATAAAAGTACTGGACTGCAGGACTGATTGTAGATGACATTTACATTTTGACCACAGATAAGGTACAGCGGAGGAATGCTGGTTTCAGGAATGCTCTAACAGGTTCATTTGAAGCATGGAAATGGTATATATTCCCACTTACCCGTAGTCTGGTCCCATTAATTCTGTAATACAAACATAGGGAACCTATTCCTCTCAACAATGCAATGATATCCGTAACGTTGATAGTTTCTTTCTCTGTAATTTCCCTGAAAATTAACATCTCTGTTTTGGTGAATATGCTACTTCTGCTAAATATTTTCATCTTCCTGCATGGCATCTGTGAATGAGCTTTTTTTTTGT